AAAAACGGTGTTTTTCCCAGCGGGGAGCCGCGCACACCCTCCCACTCCGAGGAGGACCCCGCTTTCTTCCGCAGCACAGACCCCGATTCCCCGAGGAGCGCCGGGCGCTGCCTGCCTGCCTGCCTGCCTGCCTGCCTTCTCCCTTCCCCGCCTCTCGCAGCGCCCGGGGCGCGGTCCCTGGGAGAGAGCCGCGATCCTCTCTGCCCACCGCCCCCTCCCGTGGGTTTCCGGCGGAGCACGGAGCCGAGTTTTCCAGGCGAGAGGATGGGGAAACCCCTCGAGAGCCCCCAGAACGGGGCCGAGGGACGCCTCGATGCCCCTCGCCTCAGGTTCGCCTCGCCCTTCGCACCTCTCACCTGCGGGCTCCCCGCCGCCATCGCTCCGTGCTGCGCCGCCAACGACCGGCACTTTTTCAAACTTCAGCCTTCCCGGGAAGCGGCGCGGCCCCGCCAGCGCCCTCTCGTGGGGTCCGGGTCTGGGAAGTCCCGGCGGGCGGCTCTCGAGAAGCGGGGATCCTCCTCCCGCCCCGCGCGACGGCCGGCCGGGAGCTCAACCCTCCGCCCCCGCCCTGGGGGAACGGCCGGGATGGCGGCGGGAAAGAGAGGCGCGGCGCTCGGACGCTGAGGAGACCGAGGTACCTCCCGCCTCCGTAGGCACCGGCAGCGGGGTTTTGTGGCAAAGTGACGTTACGGTGACGCCGTGACAGATCTTAGCTCCGGCCGTGCTCGGTTCGTGACATCTCCGGGCTGAAGCCGGGCGCTGTCGGTTGTGCTGGTTTTGCCAGCTGTTTGTAGTTTGCACGTATGGCAACGTACGGCTCTGCTCCAGGGTCGGTGCTGCCCTGAAAAGGAGACGACGCCCATCTGACCGTGACCAACTAATCCTCCGTAGAGATGCCCCTCTCGGAGCAGGATCGAGACAACGCTGCTTCAGCTGAATATTTGGGACAAAAGTAACCCGAACCCATTGGCAGCGTTGCTACAAAATTCCAAGCGCTGCCTCAGCGCCATGCAGAGCTGAAATGCGGTGTATCGCATCCACCGAGACGCACCATCACTGCCTTCGGGTGGCACAAACCTCCCCTCAGATCCCACCTCAGCAGCACTGTGTTATTTTTGCATTAATATGCTTTTTCAGCCCTGGAGTCATCCAGAGTTGATAGTATTCCCACGAACGTGCTTAGAAACAGGCTAATAAAGAGAATGCTTTGCTTTTATTTAATTAGAGCCGTTTTTCTAACATAAGCCCATTGTAAATAGTCTACAAGTGAATAATTAGCGTAAGGAAACCACCAGAAAATGTAGAATTTAAATCTAGCTTAATCAAGTTGAATTAATGAAGCTTTAGACTTCTATAAAACCTTTGAACATGCTCCTGTTGTTAATAAAGTGAGTACATTAGATTAATATAAACCCTTCTGGAACCTGCTGCTATTTGTAACGTGGGCCAGGCTCTGTTTAGTGTTTAAGGAATGATTTTAATTAGACTCTTCATTCTGTGGAAGTACTAGGAAGGGAAAAGATTATTTTAGTTGGCTTTGGAGTTTCACAGGAGCAGCGGACAAACCTGTCCCATGCGTGGGGATTCAAGTTTAGCTCAGTGAGGTGCAGAGGTCAGTCTGCCCAGTGCTGTGGTGGGGGCTTGTGGGGGGGCTTCCTCATTCTTTTTGGCCCTCTACCTTCCCCGTGAGGCTGGGGATCAGTGTGTGGAGCCCGGAGAGCTGTAAGAGTTGGCTGAACGAGTCCTACAGCCAGGAGCGATGGGACTGGCAGTAGCCAACCCTCACAGCACACGTGTGCCCAAAGGCCAAGAGGGTCTGGCTGTGCTGGCAGCCCTCTGCCTCCCCCCGCTCAGAGATTGCCCTGCCTTCATGGCTATCCCTTCTGTTCACCTCTCTGTCCCCTGGAAAATGTCACTGCTGAAAGCACAAAGTGCCCATCCAGCCCTTCCAACGTCCTGCTGGGAGGAGGCATTGAGTGGGCACCGGCCTGCCACCAGCACAGGGGCACAGAACAGCCTCCTACAGCTGCCAGCGATGCTCCCAGGCTCAACCACAGAGCTGTCCTGCTGGCCAGCAGCATCTGGGGAGCAGCGGCAGCACACAGAGGTGCTGCTCCAGCCCTCGGGCACTGCGGAAATCCTGAGTAGCAGCAAGGTCATTGCTGCACAAAGCGATGCTACTTTGCAGGCACTGGGTTTTAGGTCTTACAGGACTCCCTCCACGATAGAGCACGTTCACTCAGAGATGTGGGATCAAGAGAAAAGCCTTAGGAAACTCCATTTTAATCTGGGAAAAGGAGTGCAAGAGATGAAGCAAAGATCTGCTCCCCTGCAGAAGCAAGCTTCTTGTTCCAGTGTCACTTGTGACCTCAGCTTTGCCATACTAGGCACCTGCAGTCCATAAAGAAGAGCAAACAACCTCCACCCAAGCAGTTTGGGACTAGTAGCTGATTGTTTCGAAAAAGACTCTTAGAAATGGTAACATCAAGTTACAGTTAAAGGTACTTTAATTCCTTCCAATAGAAGGATAGCTTGAAGGTACATCAGAAGTGATTTCAGGTTTTCTGTTTGGGAGAGAAAAAAGAAAAAAGAAAAAAGACATGGCTTCAAAATTCAGGAACAGTATCAGATAAACAAAGTGCTACCATTATGCACCTTTTGAAGTGGTACAAAGAGAAGCTTACAAACAAATGGCATGAATGACTGAGAAATCGATTCAGATAATGCTTGTTTACAGGGACAAAACCTGTATTGACAACTGAATAAGCATACAAGTTAAAAAACCTATTTACACACACGGATATATTTGCTTTCTTTTGGCACTAGAAATTACAGACAAAGGATTCAATTTTATAGCAATTAAATTTCAAACTTAAAATAACCTTCAAGTCGTTTAAGTCATTTAAGTACAGTAACTTTAAATTGTCACCAATTCCATATTTTAACCCTGGAAATTCAAGCCATAAAGCCTAAATTCAGCTTCCATCTGTGACAAGTTTCACTCAGTAGGATCAACTGCATGTGAGGAGCTTAAGCAGCATTGGAGAATTAACAAGAGATAGAGATAGATGTTTAATAGAAATTAATCTCCCATTCTTATCCAAGGTGGACATTACCTCTAAATGCTTTTTTGAATGCAAACACAGATTAAGTCAAGTAAAAATGGGCACCCAATACTTATATTCAGTCAAATTACACATTACGTGAACAGCCAGAGCGCATGATGCCCACCTCCAATATTTCCTCACTGTTGGTGCTGAGAAATGTGTTAATTCCTATTCATTTCTATTGGTAGAAAAACTATTTAAGATTACATTTAAATATGTTTTTTAGCACATTAGTTTACTCGTTAGCTGTTGCCAGTAGCAAACCTTCTGTTTCACAGGAAATTCAGTATCATCAGTACAGCAGCAAGAATGTTTTGTTATCCTGTAAAACCCGCGCCATCCCTGTGTAAATGGACAAGGAAGCCTCCAACGAAGCATTTCAATATCCGTGCTTTCCATTTCCTGCTCACAGCATTTTGACTTTACAGAACCCGAAGCTTTGATTACTTTCAAAACAGTTTTTATAGGTTTTCTGATCATAACAGACATATTAGCAACAATGGCACAGGTTGGGATTTTTTTTTTTTTTCCACAAAGCATTAAGACTAGCTGGATTATTATCCATAAAGACCTACAATCGATTAGGATTACATAAAAATTAACATTTGTGAGGCATCAGGGCAATTAATAATAGCACATCAACCTGCTACCACAACAGGTAGTGGACTTCTACCTTATAGCAGAAAAAGGAAGCAAACAAAGAAGTCATAGGCTTCTTAACTTTCATTTGTTCTCTCTCTAGATGGCAAAAAAAAAACAACAAAAACACCAAAAACACAACAAAAAAATTACAGTTAATATTTTCATTTGCTTTGCAAGCAGAAAGTCCTGAGCAGAAGCTCTAGTTGAGATGGAATAAAGTAAATGGCCTTATTTCACACTGATTGCACACAGATGGATGTTGTGCCATCTCAGGTAACCAGGCTGAATCCGAGATGGATCCAATGCTTACACAACACTCTCCCCTTTCCTATGTTATTTGGGCATGTCTCAAGTAGAGATTAATCGTGCTCTGCTACGTGTATTCTTAAGCATTAAAAAAGCAAAAAAAGCAGAATTTGATTACAGCAAATTCTGTGAGGAAAAGGAATCGGAGAATAAGAGCAAGTCTTCCCAGAAGACAGTCTTCTCTACACATCCAAAGAGAACTAGCTGTTTGAATTTGAGATTAGCTAATACAATCTTTTAAATATTTCAAAAGCACAGCATGTTAAAACAACTTTCATTACACTTTGTGAAATACCAACAACCTCTATGTGAAATCATTACAAGCTATTCAAACAGTCTCTTAACACGGGGGGAGGAAAAAAGAAGTCTATCTAAAGCATATTTACACACTGCTACCAAGGAGAGAAAGCAGTAAGTGGCAGCTTCTTTATACAAAAGCTTCCAAGAATCTTGCTAATTGAAATAACCCGAAAAGTTTGCTTGCACTGAATATTTATTTTCACCTGAACAGAGTTCTAGAACCACAGAAAGTCTTACTAGAGCCCATGCCATCTTTTTATTCGGAGTTTGCATGGTCTTCTCACGCAAACTGATTTCCTTGAGGTACAGTACTCCAAGTTGGTACTAAAACAGCTGAGACAAGTGGCTTTTCTTTTTGCAAACTTGAATATAAGCTTTATCTTCATACCAGGCATATGCACTACAGCCTCGTCTCACGACTGTCACATCATTCAAGTGGAGCACACAGCAGTACCTCCAGACGAAGCACTTCCCAAGTACTGCCATAATGGAACCTAAATGAACCGATTACCAGTCCACAGAACCACAAGGTTGCATTGCACTACATAAATACTGACCAAACGCCCCCAAAAATGCCAAGAAGCTATGTGCAAATCCAAAACAGAATATTACAACTGTTTCTTTCAGTGAAGACCAACCAGTCCCTTTGTGTACACATTTAGTTTTATTGTAACAAAGCAACTTGTACACTTTAACGTTTAAAACTGAGCATCTTTCTTTCCTTTCCAGTGAAACAAAAAAAAAAAAAAAAAAAAAAAGAATTTAAAAATAAACAAGAACAAAATTACAATAGAGAATGTCAATTCCAAATAAGATCCTACAGGTTCTGCTGATTCTCCATCAAGTGGCAGGGCTCAAAGTCATCATTAGGAGAAGATTTTATTTTAAAAGTGTCATCTTAAACTGCAAGGATGTTTGTTAAACATCACAATTAAACATGCCAAAGGAGAAGAAGCCATGTTGTCAAAATGCCCACTTACCCCACCCACACATCTGAAACCCACCCCAGGCTGACCTTCTATAACCCCATTTTTTTTTTTTTTAGCTTTTTCTTTTTTTTTTAAACAAGAGAAAGTAGACAGATACATGTTGGTAAATGCTAACTGTCCATATTCACATAGAGACACAGTGTAATCTCTGAGCCCAATATACAGAGAAAGAAGGAAAAAAGCTAGATTCTATGCACTACTACACAGGGGCCTAGCACTCTTCAGCTTCCAGCAGAGTGAAGGGAGCAGAAGGTTTTCTTTTTTCCCACAGAATATGGTGTGTTGATTCCATAAACAGTTTTTGTTTTGAGACAGAAAGGGATAAAAATGAACTTGAAACAGAAACCGGTAGATTCTTTTCCACTGCCTTCTGCTCAAGGTATTTTCCCCAAATTAAATTGTGAACCATGGTGTAGAGGAGAGAAAAAGAGACCTCAAGAGAACAAGGAGACTGAGCACAAGAAAAAAAAGACAGCAACTTGCTCCCAGGGACTGGAGAAAAATTAAAAAGGTAAAAAGGGAATTTGGAATCCATCAGTGTTCAATTAGTCATCTTCTCCTTCATCCTCCTGTTGAAAGATAAACAACAATTAAAAGTCTAATCACTAAACACCAGATAGCACGAACTTTCAAATGCAGTAACTAGAATGTTTTGCTACCCTAGAGACTACAGTCCTACAGTATTACTCATAGCACTGTGTGATCATCTGTCCTTCTTCACTAATAGTGACACTTATCATGAGTTATGCAGCACACAGAAGCCAGTCAGTACTGTACGTCCCATTGAAAAAACAGTTCTGAAAGAGTTACCATGACTTAGAATCACTAACATTCATCATTTAGAAAGTGAATTCATTCTTTTTCTTTTGTGTTTCCCATTCAAATCAGAAGAGCAAATTTCTTCAACTTTCAGAGGCTGGTATTCTAATTACAGCCCATTACTCAGCACACAGCGCCTGGTACCACACACAGCAGTCCTCCTGCCTCAGTAACCAGAAATAAATGCTCAGTTTCAACTTCCCAATGCCCCGAGTGCTGTCTCCAGAGCCCCACTCGATACTAAGCAAAACTTAATTCCTGAACTCAGCGAAGAGTCTTAGCTGGAATGCCAATAAGCCAAAATGAACCAACAGGCAGGAGAATCACAGAACTGGATGCATCAACAAAAGCTACTGACAAGTAAAGTTCTGCTATAATGCTCGCTAATTAATGACTTTATTAAGCTAGAGCAGATACTAATATCCTAATTCACCTAGAGCACTTTCCTTGCAGGTTCACTCAAACGAGGTTATTTGCACACTCAGATACAAACGTACTTACCACTACACTGAAATACTGTAAGTTAAAGCAGTAATAGTTCTGCTTCTCTCCTTCTAAGACTTCGTCAATGACTGCACAGAAAACTACCTTCATACCAGTGGCTCAATATTCTCACGAAGTCCCTCCATTAAACTGATTTGATTCCCACAGATCAGAGAGGAAACAGGTAAAGGTTGAGCGCTCACCTCTCCTTCCTCTCCCTCATCATCATCTTCATCTTCTTCTCCCTCATCTTCATCTCCTTCTTCGTCAATATCCTCCAACCCTTCTTCCTCTTCATCATCATCATCGTCTTCCTCTCCCTCCCCTTCTTCATCATCCATATCAGGAACCTTAAAGAACATACAATAACTACAATGATCAAATTCACTTTTACCTGCGCAGCGCTTCTGCGGGTACGGCTAACAGCACGGCGCTCCTCTTACCAAGTAGTACTGTAATGGATTTGGCCAGATGTCATCCTTGATGACCTCTCCTAGCTCGTCAGCACCTGCATCAGAGTGGTCAGTGAACCAGGTAAAGAAACTTTCTGGCTCTTCATGCTGCCTCTTCCTACTGGCTTTGTTCTGTGTCTGGCTTGAACGTTTTGTCAGATCCTGAAAACAAAATTAAGAAGTTCTCTAAATACATTTTTACACTTTTTTGTGTGTGTTCCCCTCCCACCCCCCGCCCTCCCCCCCAAAAAAGTAAAACATGAGCACCATTTAGAAACACACTTGTCTAAACAACCAAAACATGACTTTTATTCCATCTTTCTGGGAAAAATCATAAAATAAATGTTTGGAATCTTAAGGATTCATAGCAAAAGGTACCACTCAGCAGTAAGCCTACTTCTTTTAATGACTTCCACTGGCACACTGTGGATACACAAGAACCTGCACTTCCTTTATGCCTCCCTGTCACGGAAGTAAACAAGTGTTTACTGAAATGCCAAACTTAAAATAGCTTAATACAGCTCTAGAGCTGCTGCGATTGTAGCTCAATGCTACATTTACCACATAAATCCACAGTTTAAAAATGGTCAGTCTCCACACTTCTAAGGTCTGTCTTTAACTTAATAGTGAGATTTAAGCCTGCCAGGTGTTCTTATCTTAGCATGTTCTGCTTTGAAGTCTTCAGAACATTCTCTGTGGTAAGCAAATAACAACGCGCACAGCGCTACAACGTATGGCCACAAGAACACATCCACCACATCAGCCCAGAACTTTCCTGAGTTTGAGAAGAACACAACTACCCTGTATTTAACCCATTCTTTCTTGGGTTACAAGGTAACTCAAAACTTCCAATGTCTGTTTTCTTAACAGAATCGTAACGTTTATGAGCTTATACTATTTAAGTGAACAATACTAAAATTCACATCGATTTTGTGGTATATTTTAGAGACCATTCAGCTACTTCAAACTAGAACTGTGATTTCTGCACAGTAGCTAAGTTGAGCTGTTGTACAGAATTGAGAATAAATTATGTATCTCCATATAAGTGTTGCAAAACATGAACTACATGTACAGAAAAGAGGAAAAGGGGTGGAAAGGGGAAGAGACAGCTGCAACTATGAAAAAAAGAAAGGAACACAAATGAAAATGATGGTATCACATACAGCAGCAACTGCCTCTCCCAGATACACAGAGACACACCTTTCCAGATTTCCATTTGATCTCAGTTGATTTTGAAGATGGGTCTCCGCTTTCATTCAGGTGAAACTCTTTGGAGAGAACTTTATTTTCAAAGTATGGATTCTCATCAAAATACTGCAAAGTTGAAAGCAAAAAGTTAGAACTCACAGAAAGTAATCGTATACGTGCCAAGTCAAATCTGGTACTAAATAGACAACTGGAAAGACTAAGTTACAAACTACAAGCCCACACACAACTGCACTCAAAAAAGCAAAGTCACAAGCGAAGGAGTATTCAAAGTACTTACAAAATCTATTCTGTAACCTGATTTGATGTCTTCAAATTCTGTCACCTCAACTCTGGTCAAATAATGCAGTGCCTCTTCGTCTTCTTCTCCCAGCAGTGCAGATACTGAAGAAGAATTAGAAATTCCAAGTTAACAAAGCTGTTAAACTTATGTCATGGACAAGAAATACAGGCGATTTCCACTGCATATGATCTGAAAAGCAACACATCTGAGCCAACTTCTTGTGGCCCATTTTTTTAAGACAGAAGCCAGAAAACCGAGTACTAGCAGCTGTATTTTCTTTCAAGGGGCTGATCATTTGTGGAAAGTGTGAAACTTGTCATTTAAAATACAGGAAGAAAATTGCCATGGAATCCTAGTGATCAAGATGTTCCTTTGGTCAGCAAATACAAGAGCCAAAAAGCTTATAAAATGTACCCTGTGACAAAAGGAAGTGTTTGCACACGAAGCAGGCTTCTGTGTAAGTGTATGCCTAGTAACATTCCTAGAAAACACTCAGAACAGCAAGAGCCTCACATTATAAGCAAGGAAGCATTGAATGTACGGAAGCAGAGGGCTATTAGCAATATACCTTGCGGGTGGTTGACAAATGTTGTTACCCAGAAATTTGGGATTTTGGCGATCAATTCTGACCTCTTCTGGAAGAATGGTTGGCGGAGTTTGTTGTATTTCTGTTCTACTTTCAAAATTTCCTCACTGGCTTGTTCATTCAGTCTGTAATGGAAAGAGCCATGCTAACCTCACGAGAGAAAACTGTATCATCAGTAGTTAGCTGCAAACTGAATGGATTTAATTATAATAGTCAGGAGCTCAAACATAAAACAGAGGCTCAAAGCCGTAACCACTGGCAAGAGACACCCTACCAGAAGCAAATACACACATCTTAATGAAGCACTTTAAGTGTATGTTATGCTTTGCAGCATTACATGAGGGGCAGACCCTTACTGATGCAATGCAAAGCAGTATTCGACATCTTACACATTTTGTTTGCAAGACACCTGTTGATGTGTAGTGCGTAACACTATTACCCACCCTGTATAATTTTGGGGCAGGTAAGCATGACTACAGCAAAGCAACTTTGTACCCCACATCCATAAATCCTTAAGACAGAACACTTAAATGGCTTTCTACAAGACAGAGCCTTGAAACCACAACTTGAGCCTCACTTCTCACCTGCATGCATAGCAGGGTAATGTGCATGCAGATGAGACCCAAATACAGACAGAGCACGCACTATCTGGGGAAATTAAATTGTCAGTGAACTTTTCTACCTGTTACTCTACAAAAACACACATGTATAATAAAAATATTTCCAATAAAGCTATCTTTTCAACTTCACTGCTCAAAAGCATGAGAATACTTTTGCAAAACAGCACACGCGTCAGCATGGAAAATCAGTAAGTAATAAAGCTCTTAACTATCACAGTGAATTTAAAAATACAAACTCAAGTTCTGTATTATCAGTTTAAAAACTGTTAACCAAGAAATGGAGGCACTTATGCAAAATTTTGGTCACACACAAATAATTCTTAAAGCTGGTCAGGTCAGAACACAACACATCCCGTGGGGGAAGCTGGAGGGCCTGACAACCACTGCCAAGCACATCATGGACGTTTTTATTTTTGGAAATCTCTTACTTTCCGCTAAAGAAGAACGAAAGCTTTGTAATGTTTACCTGTCTATTTCATTCTGTACTTCATCAATGTGTTCAATTGCTTCCTGTTGCTCTTTTTCTGAAAAATAAATGAAAATGCATCAAAATCCCTCAATTCTTGAACCTGAGGAATCACTTGACATTTTCTCCTAAGACCTGTCCCGGCGACCTACTGCAGAAATACAGGCGTTTCTATGTAGTGCCTTCAGCACTACCAGCCCTTCAAGTTTCACCTACTTTATGGCGAAGTGTGGCTGAAGTGCCAAAAAGTTCACAGAAATGGGTCTGCTTATAAGTTTACGTCCAAAAATCACAGCTACAGTTCCTCTAGGTGGTTTTACAAATCAATGTGGGCAGTAAGCAAATCGGGAGAGATAACTAACAATTTCACTACGCAGTTACAAGCCTAAGACCAACAGATTTCAAAGAACACGCATTAAGCGATTCGGAAAAGACAGGAACATCAATGGGAACAGCCCAACCAGGAACGCGCTGCCTTCTAAAAACCAAAAAGCACGCGGGATGGGTCAGTTACAAGGACAGAACTCCGAGGTCACGCTTCGTCGGATATTTCCTATCGCTACGTTCCCTCGGACGCGTCCGGCAAAGCTCTCGATTAAAGGCCGCCCGTTCGCCCATCGCGCCCGGGGATGAATGAGCGGCAGCGGGAAGGGGCCGGCGCGGCGCGATCAGCGCTCCCTGCACGGCTCAGCTCTCCCCGAAAGGGCCCGGTCGCGCCGCGGGGAGCACGTGTGCGACCGCAGCGTGCGGCGGGCAAGGAGGAAGGAGAGCTGCGCCCTTCCTCCGGCGGCGGCAAACGGGAGGAAACCCGCGGCACGGCGGCGACCTTTCGAAAGCGCGGAGCGGCCGCGATCGCACGTGGGGAGGCGCGGGCGGTTCGCTCGGTCGGGCACCGCGTGGCCCCGCGGCGGCGGCGGCGCTCCATCCCCGCGCGGCGGAGCGGCACCACGCGGCGGAGCGGCGCCGAGAGCGAGAGGCGGCCAAGCATCATGGCGGCGGAGCACAATGAGGCTCCGCGGATGCCGCTCCGGGAGGGGGGGCGGGGGGGCAGAGCGGCAGAGCGGGGGGGGTCCCGCCGCTCCGCCGAGGCCGCAGCGCCCCCCGCCCGGCCCCGCCCGCGCCCGTGGGGAAGAAGGCCGGGCCGGGAGCGGAGACAAAAGGGCGCTAACATGGCCTCCTCCCGCCGCCGCCGGGGCCTGCACATCCGCCCGGCCGGCCCCGCGCTCTTCCCGCCTCCGGCCCGGCCGCGGCCCGTGCGCTCGGGGAAAATGGCGGTCGGCGCGGCGCGGCGCGAGCCGGACGCCGCCATTCCCTTCCCGCCCCCGGCGCGGACTCACCTGAGGTCTCGTCGGCCCCATCGTGGTTGGAGTTGAGCTCCTTCTTACTGACTTTGGCCGCCGGCGCCGACATGGTGGCGGTGCGGAGCGGAGCGCGCAGGGAGGGAGGGGGCTGTAGCGGGGCTGAGGGAGGGGGGGCCGCGCGCAGACTCCTCCTGCTGCCGCTGTGCTGCCGCCGCCGCCGCCGCTCTGCCGCCCTCCGCCGCCTCCTCCGCCCGGACCTGGGGCTCCCGGATCACAGGGGGCGGCAGCGGCGCTCGCACTGCCTCGCGCTCCCCTCGGCCAGAATCGCCGCCGCCGCCTCCTCCTCCGCCTCCTCCTGCTGCTGCTGCTGGCGAGGGGCGGGCGGCGCGGAGCGCATGCGCAGCAACCCCCCCCTCCGGGGCACGGGGGGGACGTAGGCCGCGACGCGCAGGCGCACCGAGCCCCCCTCCCGGGCGCTGGGCGGCGGGCGCGGAAGGGCGCAGGCGCGCGCCGCTCCGCTCCTCTGGAGAGGACGAGCGCGCCGCCGCGCGCAAGCGCTGAGGCCGCCTCCCGCCGCGGGCGGCACGCGCGCAGCCGCAGAGAGGCTCCTCCCGCGCCCCGCCCCCGCCGACCACTCCATGCTGGGCGCCCATTGGCCGCGCCGAGCGCTCTGGTGAGGCGGGGCTCGGCGCGGAGACACAGAGGACGGCGCGAGAGGCGGGAGAAGAGAAGGAGGGAGGCAGGGAGGCGGAGGTGGGGGGAGAGAAGGGCGGCGGCGCGCGCAGGTGTTCGTGTGAGGAGCGGCCGGGGGCGATGTGCGCGTGCGTGCGCGCCGCCGTTGCCGTCACCCGGCGCACGTGGCCGCGCACCTTCAGCGTGAGCGCCGAGCTCGAAGCGCGCGCGTCTCCTCACCGCCTCCCCCGCCCTGTGCGGAGGGGCCGTCTGTAGCGGAGCGATCCCGGCGTCACGAGGGGCTGGCAGAGGTCCCGCGGGGGAAGTTTGTCTGTGTGAGGGTTTGGGATCGATGATCCTAACACGCAGCCGCCCCGAGCGGCTTCACTGCCTGAGATGGCCCTGCCGGCACCGGCATCTCCGGTGCTGCCTGGCCGATGGGGCCCTCGGACATGGCTGCTGCCTCCGCGTTGCCGCCTCCAGCTGGAATATGACTCAGACCAGACGTTCAGACGTTACGTTCCGAGGGCGCAGAGGCCCTGTCAGTCACATCAGCCCACTCCGTTGGAGTGGAAGCGCAGCCCTAGAAGGTCACTGAGTCCCGGCGCCTGCCAGCACACCTGCCACTGCAACCAGGACAAGCAGCCTTTAAATAACCCTTTTTGTCCCTTTCCACCTGTTGTGGAAGAGCTCAGTGCAGCCTCCAAGCTAAGTGAGCCCTGTTTTGCTCTTAAAGTAACAGCTGAGCCACTCTTTTCTACCAAAAATGCAGCATATCGCTCACAAATGAATATTATAATGCAGATCAAGCTAAGAAACAGACACAGCTTTGATGAAGTAGAAACTTGCCCTTTGTGGTTTGCTTTCCAGTCACACAACATTCTCACATTTTCCCTTCCCTTCCCTTCCCTTCCCTTCCCTTCCCTTCCCTTCCCTTCTCTTTCCCACCTCCTCAAGTTGCCCTTCCAATGTACTTAGCCAGCAAGGCCTGGATCAGCTCCTGCCTCCTCAGAGGCCCCACAATAGTATCCCATTTCCCGTTCACACCTGTGGCTTCCAAATCCCAAGGTTTTTTCCCTTTGTGTTCCTTGCTGTCACTTCCTGCTGGCTATGTCTGCTCCTGCGGCCACCCACAACTGCTGTGGCACAGCCACAGATTGCACTGTGCTTCCCCATGCAAACGCGAGAGGAGCTGCCACCTGTGCTAGAAGCAGCAATGAAGCATCACAACTTAATAATGCAGGATGATCAACCTCTCCCCTAGAGGGAGGTCTCAAGGCCTTTCTGATGCCCAACACAGCAACAAAGTTTCTCTCACGCTCTGTCTGCATTTCCCAAGATTGATTAATATGGATGTTTTCATATCCAGACAAGGTAAGGTAAGCTCAAGTGCGCAGCATGATTTTCTTCCTTCTGTTTTCTTTTAATCTCTTCACTACGCAACTGTGTATGTTTGCTTATTTCCCTTTTAACACTTCTAATATGCTATTCTGTTCTATAGATCGGCCTTTTAAGGTCCACAATTTGAAAATGTAGGCTGTATAATTGAAAGCCAGTTCTGTGATGATCAAAGGAGCATATGCTTACTCCCTACTACTTCTGCACATAAAGCAGTATGTGCTCCTGAAGTGTGATTTGTCTGTTCCACTGATGTACCCTTTCACCCAAACTGACCAGTTGCTTTTAGTCTTGTCTGCCTTTCAAAGGAGAACCTCACTTTCAGTTCAGCTGCAGTCTGACTTTTGGGTATAATTCATAAAAGGTCTCCCAACAACAGGTGCTTACATACTTCTGGGGCTTGGCTCAAACAGTTTGACAGCAACTCACAGAATGATGCCTTCTTTGTCCTCCCTATTGCTTTATAGAGACGTAATGAAATAAAACGAAGCCACTGAGTTAGTGTAGTTGTTAAGAAGGAAGGATGAGAGCAGAGCACCTAGTGGCTGTTGCTGCTGAATTGATTCACTGTTTGTTCTTGCTGCACTGTCAACATATATGCCCAGGAGCAACATGACTCAAGTATTTGTGAAAAAGCAAGCAGCGCAATTCTCAACTCATCTGAAACTTTCCTCTTTGTAGGGATCCTAAAGCCCATGTAGTTTCATGAAAAAGGAAGAAAAATGGCATCTAGGTGATATAAAGCCTTGTTACATGAGTTATCTGCTGTTACACAAGGTTTTCCAGAAATTACATGTGATGCTCAGACATAAGACTGTGCTTAAATTCATGATAACACTAAAAACAAACATCCCATTTAGAAAAACTTGTTCTTGTAATTGATAAATATTCAGTCACTTTCCTTCACCGCTACTGATGTTTTTCACCGTCCATAATTAACACCTAAGGCAGTTTCAGTCCTTTAATGACTGTTGATTATAAAATGTACAGTTACAATCCTGTGAAATAGATGTGTTAATGCATTTGCAGAATATGGTGTCCTCCTCCTCTCCTCTTATATATATATATATATATAATCTTCTATATATAATATATATATATGTAACATCAAATATAATTGACAAGTAACACTTTGTCCTGAATGACACCATCCAATATGCTGCCTCTATCTCAAGTAGCTTCTTTCCATTGGTGTTACAGTTTGTATTCCTGCTCTTCTCTGAACTTCAAGTTGTATGGTTGTAGTTGCAAAACTGGACTGTCTGTGGTATCTTTCCAGCTGAGTGCACGAGCGTTGTCAAGTAAAGGAGTTTCAGCCTTCAGGGTGGCAGTGACTCTCAGATAAGTGAAGAAAACTCGTGTTCGTTTTCCTCTGTGTATATGTGAACGTCTGGGGGGTGTTGGCAGCACCTGATAATGATTAGTGGCCTTACAGTTTACATAGAGTGTAGTGGTAGTTGCTCGTTGCTCTCGAGAATGGAATAAACAGAACCTATTCATAAAGACAGTCTTGTCTTTGATGCAGAAGTTCAGATCTCCCAGTATGTCTTTCTTTAGATAGATATAGAATCATAGAATTGCTTGGGTTGGAAAAGACCTGAAAGGCCATCGACTCCAACCACAACCTAACCATACTGCCCTACCTCTAACAACCCTCCGCTAAATCCTGTCCCTGAGCACCACATCCAGATGGTTTTTAAACACATCCAGGGATGGTGACTCAACCACCTCCCTGGGGAGCCCATTCCATGCTTAACAACCCTTTCTGTAGAGAAGTTTTTCCTGATATCCAACCTAAACTTACCCTGGCACAACTTGAAGCTGTTTCCCCTCATCCTGTCACCTGTCATCAGTGAGAAGAGATTACTACATCTAATATTACTGCATTACTACAAGACAGACATAATTGGTAATCATGCCTAGTTTTTGTAACGTCAGCTGTACCTATTAAACACGGACCCTTGATTTGGCAAGTGAAACCAGAAAATGTGCTAAATCCTCACAAATACAATGTAATGATGTGTGAAAAAATGAAGAATAAATTTCCCACTAAGTATTCCTGCTATATAGAATGGGCATACATAAAATCATGCAAGTCACTGTGATTAATAGCAACTTAACATTTTTATAGCCCTCCATCCAGAAGAATCTCACAGAAATTACTGTATGGAAATAGAAAACAAGGATCGTTTTACCACAGCTGAAATACAACCAAAAGGTTTTACAGCTGTACATCTGTGCCGGGAGCCTGCTCTGCCACAGAAACCTTGCAGGCTCACGATCTGTATCTGGAACAAAGACCTGCCTAGCAGTGCAACACAACACTTTTTTAGAGCATATGAATGCTTCTGAATGACCGAGTACAGCGGTGAGTTGAAGGCTGAACAACACTTGAAGCGCACAGAAGCTCGTACTTGATAGTAAAGTCTGACTGACGTATCAGTGCTTACTCCAAGCAGCAGCAGAGGCACACTGGCTGCTTTGCTGCGTGTAATCAGTTTGACAGCCCCCAGGAATTGCTGAGTCTCCATGACCCTGGAAAGACAGTTTGGCACATACATTAAACAGTCAAATACCTCCCCTCCAACTGTTTATTCATCTCCACAAGTCACAGACCTTCCCAGCCTGCGCTCACATTAGCACTGAGTGGTTAGATAATGACGGAAGAATCTTCCACGTGTCCTCACAGTTGTTGCAGTCAGAACCCTCAGATGAAAATATTGCTGGATTAAATACTGCCTTTGAAGCAGAATGGTGCTTCAGTAGCACAGACAACACAGTGAGTAATGTTGTATAATTGAATAAATCCAATGATTCTGTTGGGAGTTTTTTTTTCCCTTAATTTTTGGCCATGTTCCCATTAGATGTAGTCACTAAACTTGATTTTTGTTCTTTCTTATGCCAATGTTTTTAACTTACCGGAGTGCTCATCTGCAATCTAGGAAGAGCTGGATGGTCATTAACACTTTTTCCTATTCCCAGATACTAGAGACAAAAAGGCAGCCAAAAAAAAAAAAAAATATATATATATATATATAAAGTAAAAATAAAATAAAAATTCACAGTCAGTGAAACCTAAGACACTTCTGAACATGAGGTGTAGGCTCTT